TCGGCGCACCCCTCATACGTTTCGTGGCCCCAGTGGGCCTCACCGAAGGATTCTGGCCAATTTCGGCACACCCGTCACACGCTTCGTGGCCCCACGGGGGTTTCTATGGGATTCCGTAAGGATCCCATGAGGGTCTGTAGGGATTCCATAGGGATCCCATGAGAATCTGTAGGGATTCCATAGGGATCCTATGAAGGTCTGTACGGATTCCATGGTGATCCCATAAGGGTCCAAAGGGATTCCAAAAAGATCCCATCAGGTTCTGTAGGGATTCCATAGGGTTCCCATGAGGGTCTGTAGGGATTCCATAGCGATCGCATTACTGATGCATACTTGCATCATGGAGGGCAGAGTCGGTGGATGTGCGAAAGGTTATGTGCTCAGTCTTCGTTTCTTTTTCCCAACCATCATGTGGTGTTGGGTCCTCGTTTTGAAGAGACAGCGCCCCGCGTTCACTCCTCCTCCCGCTGCCCCCTCCCTCCTGCCATCATCATCATCATCATCATCATCATCATCATCATCATCATCATCATCATCATCATCATCATCATCATCATCATCATCATCATCATCATCATCATCATCACCATCATGACGATCATAGGGAGCTCCAGCGAAGGCCCCAGTGGCTGTGCTCCCATGCGCCACACCGCACCCATTTCGGCACACCCCTCACACGTTTCGTGGCCCCATAGGGAGCTCCAGCGAAGGCCCCAGTGGCTGCGCTCCCATGCGCCCACCGCACCCATTTCCGCACACCCCTCACACGTTTCGTGGCCCCATAGGGAGCTCCAGCGAAGGCCCCAGTGGCTGCGCTCCCATGCGCCCACCGCACCCATTTCGGCACACCCATCACACGTTTCGTGGTCCCATGGGGAGCTCCAGCGAAGGCCCCAGTGGCTGCGCTCCCATGCGCCCACCGCACCCATTTCGGCACACCCCTCACACGCTTCGTGGCCCCATAGGGAGCTCCAGCGAAGGCACCAGTGGCTGCGCTCCCATGCGCCCGCCGCACAATTTTCGGCACACCCCTCACACGTTTCGTGGCCCCATAGGGAGCTCCACCGAAGGCCCCAGTGGCTGCGCTCCCATGCGCCCACCGCAC